AGAGCATGCCCATTGATTGGCTCATTTTTGATGGGGTTTACTTTTTGTGACTGCAGATAAATGATATCATATTCAGATGCTCGTTCATTGGTATTTCATATTGTGACAACATGGAACGTGTTTTTATGTTTGACTATGATACAAAAGAGAAAGAACATCAAACACTCGACAATCTGGCTACGCCCCTCGATCAAATCAGATAGCCTCGTGTTTCGATGCGCTTCGATTAACTAGCTTTTTCAATGACATATTCCATTGGTGAAACAGTACTGTAATATACTGCAATTAATTTGCATAGCAGTACAAAAATACTCCTGACGAGTTACTAATTTTCAGTTTTGTTTCAACACAAGTTATGACTCATAAAATATAGGTACAATTGTCGACAAAAAAGCTTTTCCAGCTATTTCGATAACATACATTTTCGTTTTATCATATTTATCATATTTGATGTAATTCAATATATCACCGGTGAGCACAAAGTTGAAATTCATAATCATTTACAAGGTAAACCTGTATGTAAAAACTATAACGAATACAACTAAAAAAAAAACATAAATAAAAAAAAACACATACATGCCATGAATCCAAGACTGATTTAAGGGACACTTTAAAAATGTTACTAAAATTAACATAGCAGTATATTGTAACTTTACAATTTGCAACTTAATATGATACAGTAAAGCATGCACTATGCTTTTATCATTGTGGTAGCGTAAGGTATTCAGCGTACCCTTTTTTATACCTGACCAATGCCGCATTTGACAAAAGAAAAAAACACGTTAAAAAGTGACTTATAAAGTTTTTGAAACCAGAGAGACTCGTATACCCCCAAGAAAATACACTGTAATAATTCACCATATTGTTTACATAAAAAATATATTGTGCAAAATTATGTAGAGCTATGATTAGATATATCTGTCTGTCTGTTAAAAATAATTACCAAAATTGCGACACTTCCAAGATTATTGCAAGCATGCAAACATTTGAAGAACTTTTAAAATTATGTCAATACAAATGTATAAATTAAAATCGCAACTAATGACCTATATTCAGAATTAGAATTTTTTTGACAAGATTTAATTTCACACCACCCTTCTAAATAAACTGACGCTGGAAACAAGTGATTGACCGGTGCTAGAGAGCATTTGGTGCGCTAAAAGTGTCAATCATCATTGAAGGGCGGTTTTATCAAGACTTCAAAAGACTTTGCCGACGTGCGTACGTGACAAACTGCTAGGTAAATGTAGGCGGAGTCATTTATGCAGACAGTTGTTGGCAAAGCAGTAGTGTTACAAGGTTACACATATTTATCAATCAGTGGAATAGTGTCAATATTTCTTGTGTATTACTTAATTGTCTGGGGAAAATCTATCTGATATAAACGTCTTAGACTAATTAATATGCAACTATTATTGCATATTATTGGAATTGTTCACTATAAAGAGAAATACTTTAGTTTATTAAAATGTACGGTGATATTTATCTCTCCACTAATTAAAGAACTGGAGCCTCTCTTACTACCAATATATACTCGATTACGCCCCTTAACCAATCCGTCGCCATTTGCCAGAATGTCAACAGCATACTGACGGAGTGTAAATTTTGGGTAATTAACAGAACTGCGCAAGCAGTAACCACAAAAAAGTTGGTGATAATTTAAAGCTTATATTTTATGGTTATAAAAAATGTAAAAACCTAAGCGGTTAAAAAATGCGTTGACCTAATATTTGTAGAATCACACCAAAATTTACCAATTTTCGCGAATTTTGCCCGAACTAGATCGTGATTGACGTCATCCGTGACGTCATCTACGTTGCCGCGATACAAAGGAACGTCAGTTTTTAATTACATATATGTTGCTTTGTCATTTGACATTAAATTATTTATTTATATTTAATATTTAATTTCCTCAAAATTTTGGGCCAAAATCGACCAAAAACGTACCGAGCCCTTTAGTACATTTTCAATTTAAACTCTATATTTAATACATGTAGTTTGTCACTTTCGTATTTTTCTATGCAAGCGAAAGGAAGATAACTAAACTTTTATATTTAGAAATTAGGCCAATAAATGGCGATTAAATCATGATTATGGTTATTTATCATAATATATATAATGTGTTGCTAATAATATACGTCTACAAACAGCAATTTTACTGTAAAATTCTATAAAACGGTATAATTCAAATTTTTAAAAGTCACTTTTCGCTCACTTTCGTCGAAAATCTCACTTTCGTATTTTAGGCAAACCCCGCCTGGACTCGTATTCCTTTTGTTTCGCTTTTTTTTTCTTCATTGGATAGTTTACGATTTTTGCCGGGCGTAGCGCCAGCGTAATAATGTAGTAACACCGACATTTTGGTTATTGAACAGTCGTATGTATCGGACACTTATAATGAAACGGCGAATCAAAAAACTCGGTTTACATTTTTTTATTCAAGGGAGAAAACTCGGTCATGATCGGTCTTGGATATATCCCGGTAATTCCTACCGGACATAAGGTCCGGAACTCCGAAAAAAAATATCGGACCGGCCTGATTTTTGCCGGACATGTCCGACGGTCCGGCAACTTTCGCGAAGCCTGCATGAACCGTAACTCTGCCTTGTCTAATTTTGGAGTTATTGCCCTTTGTTCATTTTTACACTTTGTACTTTGTCCATGACATAACTCTGAAACAATAAGCGATATCAACATGAAACTTTGTAGGTAAATAGATCTTTTTGGGTAGAATTGCAGTGCACAAGAACCGTAACACTGCCTTGCCTAATTTTGGAGTTATTGCCCTTCGTTCATTTTTACACTTTGACAGGACATAACTCTGAAACTATAAAAGATCATGTCAACAGGAAACTTTGTAGGTAGATAGATCTCATTAGGTACAAGTACTGTGCACAAGAAACGTAAGTCTGCCTAATTTTAGAGTTATTGTCCTTTGTTCATTTTTTCACTTTGAACTTTTTCCAAACTACAAGTAGTATACTTTTCTGTGTCCTTCATCTGTTCAACCAGCTCTTGTATTATTAGATCTACAGTAGATCATTAGATCTATAAACAAGATAAAAAAAAGATAGATCTAAAACATAAAATGCAAAAATGAATTATTGAGACTGATTTTCAGCTGTTTGAACGAAAGTGGTGACTTAAGATATCTACTGTACATAAGGTGATAGTAGTAAAAGACCATGTTTTGAATACCTTATTTAATATTAGGCCTCTTTTTTTACTTTACAACCATTAAAATTAGTAACCAGTGAAATCCAAAGCACCAACTTTCCATAGCAATCAGTATTTTCTGTAGGATCCAATTACATTCCATAGCAACCATAACAAATATTGACTTTCCATAGCTACCAGTGACTTTCTTATCAACCATTAGTGATTTTTCATAGTAACCATGTGACTACCATAGCAAACATAGACTTTATATAGCAACCAGTGACTTTCAAATCAACCATTAATTTCCACAGCAACCATGTACACAATTTTAGATGCAGATTTGAACTTTGATATCAGTTGACCATGATTTTGATTTAATAAATGTACCTTGTATCTGCTGTTTTATTCATAGAAATAATTGTTGTTGTTTAGACCATTAATTCAAAGTAAGGTGAGTGAATTTAGGCTCATATTTGCCCTCTTGTCATTTTTGTTCAAAAAGTTAAATTAAGGTATTGTATAGACTTACAGTCATGGCGGCCTTCCCAGGCCTATTGCCGTAAACTTTATCATGAACTTTTTTTAAGTTTTTGTGTATTGTGTTCATACTTTTACGAACAAGACTTTAAGGAGACTTTACAAAACTTGACCTTCATTCATTTATAAATGACTTTGACCTTCCAAGATCAAATGTCTAAATTTTGCTTGATTTTTGCTATTATAATTAGTGTCTATAATTTGGATTTCTTCAAACTTGAACACAACAATCTTTTTAGGATGGACCTTAAAGTAAATTAGACATTTTCTACCCCCCCCCCCACCCCCCCCCCCACCCCCCCCCCCCCCCCCCACAAACAGGGCAGGGGTTTTCCTTCCACAAAACTAGTAAAAGACGCTGACCTTGATTGTAAAATTATTGAATTTTTCATTGATTTTTGCTATATATAATTGACTGAAACTTGCTAATTAATAAATAGATTAATATTGTTATAATTGGACAAAACAATCTTTTGAACAAGACCTTCTAAAAAGTTGAACTGACCTTGACCTTAAGTTTTAAATGATCTTGATTGTCATCATGGTCATGGTAAACCTTATTGAATTTTGGCTAAGTTTTCATCATTTTGTTATTTATGTAGATTTGATTCAAATGTGGACAAAAACAAGACTTGTGAACAAACGGACATCATCATGTTGAATAATTTAGATATGACCTGGACCTGTAAATGTTCTTGACTCTCAAGGTCAGATGATTAATTTTTGCTTATATTTTCTTAACTTTGTCATTTATTCATGGAAATGAGTTATTTTCAAAACAACAAGTGTGACAACACTGAGTCCTATTAAAATAAAAAGTAAGAAGAGTTCAACTTATTTTTCTTTTGAAAAATTTGTTTTATTGTTTGTTTTTAGTAAAGTACAGTACTGGTCATTGTAACATTAACTATAAAATCTTGTTATATTAAGCAAATATTTCAATAATAGGCAGTTGATTCAGACAGAAACAATTTTGAAAATGTTAAAATTTCAACCAAGGAAATCACATAAAAATTAATGAAAACAGAAACTTAAAAGGGAGTGATTTGATGTTATTGTTTACAGTAACACAGTTTATTTATAAAACTATGCTGAGGGAGTAAAATCTGATATTTCTACATGTTTCAGACTAAAAATCATTAAGATTGTGAAGAATGTCAAATTTTTGTTGGAAAAAAGTGGTCTATGTATGTATTCTAGGCTTAATGAGGGTCAGTCTGCCCTTTCAGGCACTGAGACTATTGACCCTAAAAATAGCAATCTACTTTAAATAATGACATTTATATTCTTGTCATTTTTTACAGGTGAAAGAGTTTACAGCTCTTTGACGATTATTGTTTGGCTCATTTTACAGTTGACAGGTAAGAATGATATGAGCCGCGTCACGACAAAAGCAACACAGTGCCTTTGCGACCAGCATGGATCCAGACCAGCCTGCGCATCCACGCAGTCTAATCAGGATCCATGCTGTTCGCTTACCAAGTGGAGAAACTGATGGCGAACAGCATGGATCCTGATCAGACTACATGGATGCGCGGCTGGTCTGGATCCATGCTGGTCGCAAATGCATTATGTTGGTTTTGTTGTGACGTGGCTCATTTGATGTCTCAAGATGTTTTTGTACAAGCAGTTTAAGTAATAATGTTTAATCTGATATAAGATTTAGTAAGTTAAAAGAATTAACTTTTTTTCATGGCATTCATTTAAGGCAACCAGTTTGTATCTGTTCCACTGAAAATTTGGAAAAGTCCTCAAGATTTATAGTGAATTGACACAATATTAATCTATTTTGACTTCTAATTTATTTACATCAAGAATATACAGGGTAGTGAAGTTTTTCTTTAAATACAGCCAGAATTTATTTTTATTGTGGTTTGAAAAATATTTCATGAGTGACGGTAGCCACAAGTGAAATATGTTTTTCATACCATAAGTATGTGAACTCCTGAAATGAAAATATATAAATAGACACATCAATATAGTCACATATATGTAAACACATGAATATATATATGATATATAGATATACTCACATCAATGAACTCACATCAATGTACCCATATTGCTGTCCTCATTCTATTTTCATACACCAAAATATTAACAACAATGAACTCACGCCAATGTCCTCAAGGTCCTCACATCAATTAATTCACATCAATGTCCTCATGCCAATGTCCTCACATCAATGAGCTTACAACAATGTCCTCACAAATTGATGAAGTCACTTGTCCCTACATTAATATCCTCATATCAATGTCACATTAATATCCTCATATCAATGTCACATTAATATCCTCATATCAATGTCACATCAGCATCCTCATATCAATGAAATAACATCAATGTCCCCAGATCAATGTCCTCATGGCAATGTCTCCTCATCAATATCCTCAAATAAATATCACATTAATGAACTCACATCAAAGTCCACACATCATTGTCCTCACATTAATGTCCTCACAACAATTTCCTCACATAAATGTCCTCACAACAATGTGCTCACAATAATTTGCTCACTTAAAATGTCCTAACATCAATGAACTCACATCAATGAGCTCGCATCAAATTCAATGTCTTCACATAAATGTCTTGACATCAATGTCCCCACATCAAAATCATCATATCAATGTCCCCATATCTATGAACTCACATCAATGTCCCCACATCCAGTCCCAGTGAAACTTGAAATGATCTTACAGGACAATAGATCCTGTGAAAACTAATATTTTACAGGGCCTTGGTGACAATTACAGGACTTAAAAATTTTGAATAATTTTCCCCATTTATAGTACATGTAGTAATTATTAGGGATAAGTTTTTGGGGACAAGGGCAAGTGCATACAAATTGCATTTTTGGAAGTGTTGATATTCCATTTTAAATAAGATTGACCAAACATTAGGTTGACTAAAACAATGCATGTACATATAAGTTTAATAAATATTATTTTGTAACAATAAACAGCAAAATGACAAATGTTGTAAAATGAACTGAATGCTTGCAGGCAGTCTTGTGTTTTTTCTTCTCTATCATCTTTATCATAGGTTTCATGTAGCTTGTTATGATTTACTCACTGCAGCCAGGTGACTTTGTGCTGAAATACAAAAAATAAAAAATCATATACTAGTAATTCATCAATTTCAATATTTCCCCAAAAAAGTATTTCTTGTCAGTTGACATTGCCGAGTCCTAGTTAATATGAACTTAATAAGGTTCATGTGGATGTTGTTTTTCCACTGAATTCCTCTAATACTATCAAACTGCATCCGCTGCAAATTAAAATACTTTAAGTTACATTTTATTCGAGCTTCACGATCAACATCACAAATAAATTTTAACGTCTTTTATTTACAAATGTTCTTACATAAATTCATATAAAGAATAAATTATCGGATATTCACCACTACGAGTGTTTACAGAAGTTTATTTGCCAATCATTTTCAGTCGCCATTGACGCATTTGACAAGAAAAATTGTAAAAATCAGAAGGTTTGGCTGAAGTTTATCAACATGATCACTAGACTTACCGACAAATTTATGCACTAAGCAAATTTATGCGCTATGAATGTCCCTTATTGGTCTTAATTGACATGAATCGCCGCTTATCTGTCAATATCATTGTTTGTTGATAGGCAATTATCAACACTCCGGAGATGTCACCTGTTGACTTCCAACATCCGCTCAATTGTATCGCAGCGTTTCACTGGTTTTCCAATTATACCGACCAATGAAAATTGGTTTAATAGACAATTTTGATATAGGCGGAGCGTGGAAGATTTTGATATTTGGAAAATTATTGCACGTGTTTATCCTAATAAGTGCGACACTGTTTTTGCTTTTTCTAAGCAAACTGGAGACAGAGCGCCTAGAAACGTGAAAAGAGTTTCTTTTTAATAGTTCTACTGCTAAAAAAAATTACTGGACAGTAGGTCCGGGAGAACTTTCTAAATTTGTCAGACCTTTCAAAAAATTACCAGACATGACAGACAGTCGGACGAGGTTTAGCTTGGACTGCACATCTATGAACTCACATAAATGATTCACCTCAATGAACGCACATCAATGTCCCTACATCAATGTCTCCACATCAATGTCTTCACATCAATGTCTCCACATCAATGTCTTTACATCAATGTCCCTGCATCAATGTCTTCACATCAATGTCTTCACATCAAATTCCCTGCATCCATGTCCTCACATCCATGTCCTCACATCCATGTCCTCACATCAATTTGAGCACAGAAATATCATCACATCAATATCCTCACATCAATGTCCCCAAATAAATGTCTTAACATTAATTTTCTCACAGCATTGTTCTCGCATCAGTTAATTCACCTCATGCCCACATGACAATAGACTCACATCAATGCCCTCACATCAATATACTCACATCAGTGTTTCTATATTAATGTTCTCACATCAGTAAACTCATATCAATGTCCTCTCATCATTGAACTTTCATCATGATCACATCAATATGCTCACATCAATGTACTCACATAAATATCTTCACATCAATGAACTCTTATCAATATGTTCACATCAATGTCCTCACATAAATATCTTCACATCAATGAACTCTTATCAATATGCTCACATCATCGTGACATTAATGTCGTCACATAAGTGAACTCTCATCAATATGCTCCATCATTGTCCCTACATCAATTTCTTCACATCAATATATTCACATCAATGTACTCACATAAATTTCCTCACATCAATGAACTCTTATCAATATGCTCACATCAGTGTTTCCACATTAATGTTCTCACATCAGTTATCTCACATCAATGTCCTCTCATCATTCACCTTTTACCCCATGAGCATTTTGCGAAAAATGGCTGTTTTCATTGAAAAGCCTCCTGTAACAAGTTCGAACTGCTATGAAACTATAAAAAATGCTTTAATACTAATGAAACTTGGCACAAATGTTGACTACACCATAGCCTCTGTAACAGCATGCTCATGTGTAACAGCATGCTCAATGGTAAATTTCCTGTTACCATGGCAACCGGGGACGTCTCAAAATTGTAAAAAATCACTATTTTGCATTGTTTTTTTCTCCATCAAAACTGATTTCAAAGTGCTGCAACTTCTCCATGAATTGACAGAGTAAAAGGCTTTTCAGCGTAGGTTACTTGTTACCCTAAGATCAACCTGAGGCCATTTTTAGTCAGTCACATGTCCAAAATTTTCTTTGGCGATTAGGGGTACTCCGCCCCCCTGATGTAATATTTGGATGGGGGTCGGCGCCGAAAAAGTGGTCACTTTTTTTAACAACATTTCTCAAACGAACAAACAGTGTTTGGGGCCTAAATAGGGCATTTTTTTCACTGTTTGAGGCCTCAAAAGGGGGGGGGGCAAAAAAAGCCGTCGAAACACGCTTATATAAGGGAAAAGGTTAAACTCGCATCATGATCACATCAATGAACTCACATCAATATGCTTGCATCAATGTTTTCTCATCAATGTCCTCACAATAATGAACTCACATCATTGAACTTGCACAGGGGCTTTATGCTCAAATGCTTAAGAATGTCTGTCCACAGTGAATTTTGACATTTTACTTTTGAAGCATATAATTATGTTCTCATATATTCATCATAAAAAGATACATGAATAGTGGGGGAGGGGGTATTCAAGTCATGCAGTGGCAGTTTCAGTTTTGAGGTCAGTAGGTCAAAGGTAAAGGTCACTTTTATCCTTGCCACTTAACATTCAGAATACATAACTAGGCAATGCACCGGCTTACCACCCTCAGATTTGGCAGTGAGGTTGTCCTTGAGCTCTAAATGACCACTGTTGATTCTGACAAAGTGGTATGGGAGGTATACATGCCAAGGCAGTGGCAGTTCCAATGAAATTGAATACATCTTAAAAACTTTGTATAAAAAAATGCAAGTTAAAAATGTGATCCTGATCTATGGCCGTTAAATATTATTCTCGAGGTTTTTTTTTTTTTTTTTGGTTTTAGGGGAAAAAAAACACTATTTAATAATTTTCATTGTGGAATGGGGCCCATTATTCGGCCCCAAATTATACAGTACAAGAGCCCTGTCACATCAATGAACTCACATCAATATGTTCACATTAATGTTCTTAAACCAGTATAGTCACAGTGGAATATGTGTAAATTATGTGTTAGCACACATTAAGGTTACTGGTAGTCACATCAAACACACTAATTACAGTTCTCATAAAAATGATACAAAATCATTTTATTAAGTTTTCTTATTTCAGGATTTGTCAGTTCTTTTTGTCCCCTAGGAAAATACCTTACCGCTTCTATGGTATGTCGTGATTGTGAATTTGGGTATTACTGTGACTCTACTGGAATTAAGCCATGTCCTATTGGTACAAAATGCTCTGAACGTGGTAAGTACCTTAAATATAACTTATTTTGTTGTAATGTTAAGTTTTGTTCCAGAGGGAATTGTGAAATTTACTTGTGATTATCAAATGAAAGACAATAATGGTTATATATAGAAGGAGAGTGATCTAGGAATCATATTTCACCATAAGTCAAATGAGCCAGTCGTCACGACAAAACCAACATAGTGCGTTTGCCACCAGCATGAATCCAGACCAGACCAGCCTGAGCATCTGCACAGTCTGATCAGGATCCATGCTGTTCGCTATCATATTCTCTACTTGTAAAAGGGTTGGTAGGCGAACAGCATGGATCTAGATGCGCAGGCTGGTCTCGATCCTTGCTGGTCGCAAACGCACTTTGTTGGTTTTATGGTGATGCGGCTCAAATAAGAAAAAACAGCTGCTTGCAATGCTTAAATGTACATTTACTTTCATATCTAGATCTTTAATCCTATGTCTAGATGAATAGCTCCTCAGACCTATGTTGGACTATTGCCCTCTGGTTTAGGACCCATCAACAAAGAAACTTTGTCCATTTTTGAAAATATACATAATAGATGTACTAAAATCATTATGTCAAAACTAAACAGGACAAGACACTAGCTGAGCTTTTGCAGCTGAGTCCAATATAATCAGTATTGGTCTTAACCATGTTTAATGACCTCTTTATTTTACACCACCATTTTTTTTTAACATTTTGATAGAACTCGTTACTTCAATTACAATAAAGATTTGATATGGATTTTTGATTATCAAAAGTTGAAAAGAAGACCAGATAAGTTGCAATATGCATTTCATATGAGCCTTTTTAATTAGACTGTGGAAAGACTATAAGGGGTGTGATGTGGATTTTATACGGGCTTTTTGGACTCTTGAAATAAAAACGATGTTATATTGATACGATTGAATCCTATAATGATTTCTATTGGATCATCACATGGTGCAAAAGCTGAAAGTGCATTGGTTATATTTTATATGATGTGAAATTTTAAATATTAGGCACTAGCCAAAGGTTATAATTATGTCAGCAAGGCTATATTATTCTGTATATCCAGTCAGCAGCTTGTATTATAATGCATTTTAACAATAATACAAATTGTTATTGATTGATGAAATGTTCATAAAAAAATCCCGAAACTATAGAATATTTTAAAAGAAGAGGCTCAGGTAAATAAAATAATGCCTGACATTCAACGTCTACACTTACACTGCTAAATAAAAAGTAATTCAAGTGTAAAGTCATTATAGTGGTGAACTTTTAGCTTTTTATACCCCCAAAAACGAAGTTTGGGCGGGGTATATAGGAGTCAGCTGGTGGTCGGTCGGTTGGTCCGTCTGTCCAGCGGTCCGTTGCATTTTCCTTGTCCGGAGCATAACTTGAAGACTAATGGTTGGAATTCAATATAACTTCATACAACGGTCAAGCACATTAAGAGGAAGTGCAGTGCACAAGAACCATAACTCCATCTTGACTAATTACAGAGTTATTACCCTTTGTTACTTCCTTGTCCGGGGCGTAACTTGATAACTACTGGTTGGAATTTAAAACAACTTCATACAATTGTCAAGCACAATAAGGGGAAGTGCAGTGCACAAAAACCTAACTCTACCGAAAGTAATTTACAGGTAATTGCCCGGACCCTTGGTTTTTTCCAGACCCTGATGATATTGTTGGAATTTCAACATTATTACATACAATGTCAAGTAAAAGAGAATGCGTTCAACAAGGAACCAACTCATATGACAATAAGAAGTACTGCTGTTACTTTTCATTGTGAATAACTTAAAAGGTGTCAAATTTTAAAACATCTGCAGTACAATGGTCAAGCACAAAATAGGGCAAGAGCAGTGCAAATAACTGTAACTCTTACTAATATGTAATGACAGAATATATGTTCCTTGTGGTAACTTTTTGACTTTGTTTGACGAGCATAAGCTTGAAGACAATGGTTTGAATTCAAAATGTCAATAAATGGTCAAAAACGTGAGAAAGATGCAAATAATTCAAAACCCTAAATTCCATTGAAAACTGACTAGTGGAATTTAGGAACTTTTTCTCGGACCGCACGAGTTTTATTCAGCCAGGACCGAGGACCGACGGACTTTCGCACAGACTGAAAACCATAACTCTACCTAAAGTAATTACAGAGTAATTGCCCTTTGTTATTTTTCCATTGCTTTCTTTTGTCCGGACTATAACTTGAAGACTAATAGTTGGAATTCAACATTACTTCATACAATGGTCAAGTACATTGAGAGGAAGTGCAGTGCACAAGAACCATAACTCCATTTTGACTAATTACAGAGTTACTGCCCTTTGTTACTTTTCCTTGTCCGGAGCATAACTTGAAAACTACTGGTTCGAATTTAAAACATCTTCATACAATGGTCAAGCACAATAAGGTCAAGTGCAGTGCACAAAAACCATAACTCTACCTAAAGTAATAACAGAGTAATTTCCCTTTGTTACTTTTCCATTGTCTTTTGTTTTCGAGAATCCAATAAACTTCTCAAGGAACAATGGTAGGAAATCAAACATACAAGTAACACACTAAGAAGTCAATGCCACAACCATAACTCATTTGCAACTAATTACAGGTATTCTTTGTTAACATTCCTTGTCCGACAGCATAACATTTGACTACTAGTTTGGAATTCTATACAACTTATTGCAGTTGTCAAAGCAATTAACGAGGAAATGCATGCAGTGCACATGAATTATAACTCCATTTTGACAAATTACAGAGTTATTGCCCTTTAATAATTTTCCTTTTCCTGAGCATAACTTAAAACATACTGGTTGGAATTTAAAACAACTTCATACAATGGTCAAGCACAATAAGAGGAAGTGCAGTGCACAAGAACCATAACTCCAGTTTGACTAATTACAGAGTTACTGCCCTTTGTTACTTTTCCTTGTCCGGAGCATAACTTGATTACTACTGGTTGGAATTCAAAACAACTTCATACAATGTTCAAGCACAAGAACTATAACTCTGTCCAGAGTAATTATAGTGTTATTGCCCTTTGTTACTTTTCCATTGCTTTTTTCTTGTCCAGAGCATAACTTGATAACTACTAGTTGGAATTTAAAACTATTTCATACAATGGTCAAGTATATTGAGAGGGAGTGCAGTGCACAGAAACCATAACTCTTTTTTGACTAATTTAAAAGGTTTTGCCCCTTGTTACTTTTTATTGTCCAGTGCATATCTAGAAAATTAATGGTTGGAATTCAATGAAACTTTATACAATGGTCAAGGGCAGTGAGATGAAGTGCAGTGCACAAGAACAATAACTGTTTGGACTAATTACAGATATTGCCTTTGTTACTTTTTTTTAGTCCAGTGCATAACTTGAAAACTAGTGGTTGGAATTCAATACAACTTCATACAGTGGTCAAGCTCAATGAGTGAAAGTGCAGTGCACAATAACCATAACTCAATCTTCAGTATTTTAGAGTTATTGCCCTTTGTTCCTTTTCCTTGTCTTTCTGGACTTATTACAGAGTAATCCAATAAAACTTCATCAATGGCCAACCACATTGAAAGCCTAAGGAAATGCAACATACAAGAAACACAACTGTCTTTAATTGCCCACAACCATAACTCTATTTCAATTCTTTACAAGGTATTCTGTTACTAGTAACATCCTCATTTTCGAAGCAGTCTTGCGGGGGTATTAATCAAATTTATCATTAGTTCTAGTTTTTTTTTTTTTAAATTATTGACATTTGAATTGAGAAATATACAACACATGTACACATGTATTGGCCAGTGGACTATATACAAATTATAGACAAGTCCTGTTTTTCAGTTTCATTGTCTTTGGGTAATTTTAAAGGCAGCTTTCCCCTATTTAAAGCCGGTTATTTATATATTTCAGGAATGGCAGCAAGCACGCCATGCAAGAACGGGACTTTCCAGTCATTAACAGCCCAGGTGTATTGTATTGAATGTCCCATTGGACGTTACTGCCCCACGGAAGGTCTTACCGAAGGAATTCTTTGTCCTGCGGGTTCTAAGTGCTATACCTCATGTAAATGATTTTAGATTGAGTTTATTTTGCCATGTAGGTTCTTAGTTCTTTACTTCATGTAAATAATTTATGTGTACCAAAAATTTCGGGAGACATACTGTTTTTGCTTTTGCCGTCTGTCCATCCCCTGAGTCATCTTGTCTGGCTTTCAAACTCCTTTAAATGACCTTGACCGTCAAATGATTGAATTTTGCTTATACAGTCTAAACTGTTTCAAGCAGCCAGCCAAGGGATGCAGTCATTTTCGCTGCCTAAGACAGGTGGCTGCTGAATGGAGGATCAATTGTATTATTTCTTTCTTTATAAGATAAATCTAATTTAGTTATAAATTATATAAAAGCAATCTGATTCATCATCATCATCATCATCATCATCAGGTTTTAACCATTTACACAATCATGTATGTCATTTAACATGTACTCATCTTCCAACATAAAAACTTTACGTGAATGTAACACAGATAAACAAAATGCACTAATGATTATGTCAATTGACACCAATTATCTCACTAAAATATTATATTTTCTTATTAATTTTCATGCCCCCACAATGTGGGAGCTTATAGCGTTGCACTTGTCCGTTCGTCTGTCCGTCTGTCCGTCCCGAAATCTTGTGAACGCAACTCCTCTTAAACCGGATGGCAGATTTTGCTTAAACTTACAGGGATGAACAACTTAAATGTGTCGATGGATGTAAAGGAAGGAATTTTCGCTGCGAATTATGGCCCTTTGTTGATTTTTTCACTATATACTACGTAGAAATTTTGTGAACGCAACATCTCTTAAACCCGATGGCAGATTTTGGTCAAACTTCCAGGGATGAACAACCTTAAACATGTGTAGATGGTAGTAAAGGAAGGAATTTTTGTTGCAACCAAATTTAACAGAATTATGGTCCTTTGTTGATTTTTTCACTATATACTATGTAGAAATTTTGTGAAACGCATTTCCTCTTAAACCAGATGGCAGATTTTGCTTAAACTTCCAGGGATTAACAACCTTAATGTGTAGATGGTAGGTAAGGAAGGAATTTTTGCTGCGACCAAATTTAACAGAATTATGGCCCTTTGTTGATTTTGAGTTTTCAACTTGTGGCACATGTAGTCCAAAAAATATTTGACCTAGAGTCATAAGATTGACAGAACAGTGGCGTGTGGGGGCATCCGTGTCCTAAGAACACATTTCTAGTTATGCCCCCACAATGTGGGAGCATATAGCGTTGCACTTGTCCGTCAGTCAGTCAGTCCCTCCGTCCGTCCGTACGTCCCGAAATCTTGTGAACGCAACTCCTCTTAAACCGGATGGCAGATTTTGCTTAAACTTACAGGAATCAACAACCTTAATGTGTAGATGGATGTAAAGGAAGGAATTTTTGCTGTGACCAAATTTAACAGAATTATGGCCCTTTGTTGATTTTTTCACTATATACTATGTAGAAATTTTGTGAATGCAACTCCTCTTAAACCGGATGGCAGATTTTGCTTAAACTTCCAGGGATGAACAACCTTAATGTGTAGATGGTAGTAAAGGAAGGAATTTTTGCTGCAACCAAATTTAACAGAATTATGGCCCTTTCTTGATTTTTTCATTATATACTATGTAGAAATTTTGTGAATGCAACTCCTCTTAAACCAGATGGCAGATTTTGCTTAAACTTCCAGGGATTAACAACCTTAATGTGTAGATGGTAGTAAAGGAAGGAATTTTTGCTGCAACCAAATTTAACAGAATTATGGCCCTTTGTTGATTTTTAGATTTCAACTTGTGGCACATGTAGTCCAAAAAATATTTGACCTAGAGTCATAAGATTGACAGAACAGTGGTGTGTGGGGGCATCCGTGGACACATTTCTAGTTTTTATCTAAATCGCTAAATTGAAAAATAAAAGCTTACATAACTCACAAGAACGAATTGCATGCAGACCTTCTAATCGTTTGTAATTAAGATGACACGGATGAGTAACACGGACTATGCAAACTTCTTGAAATTTTGTAGCTGTGTTACTATTTGGCGCGTGAAAAGGAGCTTTGGTTAATCTGTGACACATGCCATCTTAACAGCAGATTGTTTGGCAGTTTCACTTCGTTGACCGCTTAAGATGGCAGGTGACCATTGAACAGATGTATAAAATGGAGTGATTTTCGTTGGGGCCGTCACAAAGTGGCCATTGAGGTCAGGTGACTGCCGATAAAGAGGTGACCGTTAGTACAGTTTTGACTGTATTTGCTTTATTTTGTCATTTATTCATAGAAATGTGGAATATAATGATTCATACTTGCACAAAACAACAAATATGACTATACAGACCTATTAAAACTAAAAAAAACGCATGTTGGTTTTGACATGGCACGGCTCAAATTAATATCATTTACACATTTTTCAATACAATCAGCCTTAGGACTGACAGAAGAGTGATAAAATAAGAAGGACTGACAGAAGAGTGATAAAATAAGAAGGACTGGCAGAAGAGTGATAAAATAAGAAGGACTGACAGAAGAGTGATAAAATAAGAAGGACTGACAGAAGAGTGATAAAATAAGAAGGACTGGCAGAAGAGTGATAAAATAAGAAGGACTGACAGAAGAGTGATAAAGTAAGAAGGACTGGCAGAAGAGTGATAAAATAAGAAGGACTGACAGAAAAGTGATAAAATAAGGACTTGGGCAGAAGAGTGATAAAATAAGAAGGACTGGCAGAAGAGTGATAAAATAAGAAGGACTGACAGAAAAGTGATAAAATAAGGACTTGGGCAGAAGAGTGATAAAATAAGAAGGACTGGCAGAAGAGTGATAAAATAAGAAGGACTGACAGAAGAGTGATAAATTAAATAAGGACTGACAAAAGAGTGATAAAATAAGGACTCAGAGATTATATATGAATTATGCATAAATGTGAGTATATTTTAACTTATGTTTTATCAAAGATGCATAAAACAAAACTTGGGCAAAGGTAGAAAGCAAACTTGTAACTTTTAATTATATAAGACTTCTACATGGTATTTAAGCTTGTATGCATCATGTAGACTTCAATATGACATGTTTTTATCACTTCTATATCTTTTATTATGTTATCTACATGTATTATTTTCGTCTTGGGACATAATTCTTGAGAAAAAAAAACACACCATGTGCACCGTGTATATCCTGTTACAATAATGCATGATTCATGCAATAAGTAACGCAAAATTGTGTAATAAATGGCGGATACCTGACAGGATTTCCTACACTGTAAAATAACTGGCCAATATATTTTTTATTTAACCGAACTGAAAAAAATCAATAGCCGCATACAGCTGCAAAGACATTACTCTTTATCCATCATCAACATTATTTCCACGAAATTGTTTACTTTTCAAGATCATGCGTAAGAATGATGACTTGATATATCCAGTATTTTAGAGAATGTTAAAATAATGCATGAATTTTTCCACAGTAATGCAGAATTGAGCAATTTTATGGTCGAAACGTGCACCTTGGTAAGCATATTTATAATTAATCAAACAAAAGAAATTCATTTGCCATTGTTGCGCAGACTTCATAATATTTTAAAAGTATTTCAAGGGAAGTGTTGGGATTTTTTAAGATCATTCATGAGAATGACAACCTGGCTAGTACAGTGAAGGCAACTTTAGTGTTTCATTGATATATATTTAATACCGTGTAATATCTGAAAACCAAACACCTGTGGGAGTATAGCAAAAAAATTTCAGATTTTGAAAGTTTCCAATCAAGAAACATTAGCAGTTTCATTAAGACATAACTGTTAAAGTGTTGATATAGAAGCTGATGAAATGTTTCAAATGGCATAATTTTATGATTCTGAAAAAGTTAATTCACCTATAACTGACTTTGTAATAGTATTAAGTAAAGTCATCACAATTTGAGCCGCGCCATGACAAAACCAACATAATGCATTTGCGACGACCACCATGGATGCAGACCAACCTGCACATCCGCACAGTCTGATCAGGATCCATGCTGTTCGCTATCAGTTTCTCTACTTGTAATAGGGTTTGTAAGCAAACAGCATGGCGTCATGTTTCAAACAAAAACGGCTCGTCAGTCACGGCCCCCCTAAAGTTAGTCACAACAGGTCAACCAATCATCTCTGGTACTTGAGATGACTCGACTTTGACCTGCCCTGTGCCTTGACATGCACGACTCGAGAGTGATTTGGACAAAAACCTGTAATCATCTTCAAAATTTCTTAATTTTCACACTTTAATCAAAGGCTTGACATGCTTGACAGGTTGTTAATCTAAGAGTTGTCAAGACTAATGATAAATGCTAATTGGAAGATACAAATGTTTTGCAGGATTTATAATTTCAAGTATAATAAACCTTCACATCCTTTTCAATTTCCAAATTTTGGAAGTAAAATCTAATTGATAAAACCATAATTAATTATGCCCCCACTTCAAAGAAGAGGGGGTATATTGCTTTGCATTTGTCGGTTAGTCGGTCTGTAGACCAAATGGTTTCCAAGTGATAACTTTAGAACCCTTAGGCCTAGGAACTTCAAACTTGGTATGGTGATTGGTCATGACCAGTAGATGATCCCTATTGATTTTGGAGTCAAGGGGTCAAAGGTCAAGGTCACATTGACCTTGTAAGTAAAAACGGTTTCCGATCAATAACTTAAGAAGGCTTAGGCCTAGGAGCTTCAAACTTGGTATGGTGATTGGTCATGACCAGTAAATGACCACAATTGATTTTGGGGTCAAGGGGTCAAAGGTCAAGGTCACATTAACCTTGTAGGTAAAAACAGTTTCCGATCAATAACTTAAGAACGCTTAGGCCAAGAAACTTCAAACTTGGTATAATGATTGGTCATGACCAGCAGACGACCCCTATTGATTTTAGGGTCAAGGGGTCAAAGGTCAAGGTCACATTGACCTTGTAGCAGGGCTGCCAACAGCAAATTGCAAAATCATCGGAAAATACGCCGGGGGTCAAAGGGGGCTGCACAAGCCCTGGCGGGGGACCAGGGGGCGTAGCCCCC